AAGGCCACCAGAAGTGTAGTGGGTCCATATCGCCGTGTTCTGCCCAGGGGAAAATGAGGAAAGGTCATCATCGCGGACGATTAACTATGCCGTCTTCGGTCGGCCTGGAATGCCTGTCAAGCCCTGAGCGCGTCCGCGTGTGACTCCACCCTCGGCTTGCCGACGCCTCAACGGCGATCGATATTTTCGCCTTCGGCAAATTGGTCGCAGCCTCACAAAGCTCAGACGCAGACACTCACCTTGCGCTCGGTCTGTCCACTGTTTGGTAAGACGACTCGCTGTCACGGCTCGCTGAGTTGAGCTGTACGTTCCCTTGCAGCAGTAAACATTGTCTGAACAACTGTGCCCACGCGACTCAGAGTCTTTCAGTTGTCGACTATCGAATTTTAATAAAAAAAAACGACAAACGCTGCAGACCTCTCGTCAGTGTCTACTGCTTTAGTCATCAGTGCTATAAACCTGTATTGCTTTCGGTGCCTCGGCGGATGAATTGCATTGGCTCTTCAGTTCCCGTACATGTCTACTTGACTGTCCACCTTTGCTTCAAGTAGGAGGCTGCCTGCCCGATTATGTGAAATCAATTTTTAAGAGGTTAACCATGAACTTCCTTTCAAAGAGTGGCCTGCTCGAAAATATCCATTAACGCTTTTGACCACACATTGCTGTCTGACTTGAGAAGCCGGAACAGTCCAGAAAACCACGAGCTACTTTTGTTCACCCGACACACATACATGCATACAAGCGTAAGGACTGTTGTACTGATTGTTGGTTAGCATGTCGAATTAGAGAGGAAATTTTTGCTTCGGATAGCTCACCTGTCCGTCCCATGAGGTCAGAAAGTCCTCCTAGATGAGCTGAGATGCTTCGTACTTCGTCCTTTTTGTGCGTTACACGATTGTGACCCTTAGCAAGCTGTAGTTGGATACTTAATTTACTTCATAAAATCGATTACATGCTGGTCTCGGTTGCCGTAAAGCACATTACCATCAGACCGAACAGCCGTTTTGTGCTCGAAAATCAAGTCAAATTACTTTCCGAGTCGGTTTTCGGGCAAACGTCCGTATTCAGATCACGAGCAAAGTATACAAAACGAGGCCACTGATAGAGAAAATCGGACCATTTTGGGCCTGGATATTCTAGAAAATCACGACAGGCAGAAGAGTCTCGAGCTACTTTTGCTGACCCCTGCAGGGTGCAACGGAACATGGACTCCCGCCGAGTATTATGACTGAATTCCAGGGGTCCCCTATTTCCATGTCCTAACTCTAACCATAACTCCCACAAACCTATTCCTAACCTACCTGACTCTGACTAAAATCTCCCGGAATTAAAGGGAAAGTTAATGGCAATATGGCAATCCATCTTCACGTGTCCAACCGGCGTAACCCTCACATGGATATTTTTTACCCGTTTAACCCGCAAAGCCTAACACAGACGGAGTTGCCTTTGAGAGTTTCGTAGACCGGTGGACGCGTGCTGCAGCATCCCAGCAGACGAGCCAATCACAGCAAACACACATTGTTGAGCAATATTCGAGAGGATTTTTCTAAGAGGGAGGATTAAGGACATCGACTAATCCGCCTCATGGCGAAGTCTCCACTGCGTAAAGACTTATCAGAGGTCGGTGTTTGGCTACTTTGCGATCTTCACAAATCCATCAAGACGCTTCACCGTACTGAAAAAGTTGTTCCTTTAGGTATTCCATTGTCAAAAACCACTATGTACTTGAAATTTGGGAAAGTGCGTCGCAAAAGCGGACAAAAACAATGGACAGGAATGCACGAAAACCAACCGGAGGCTCGGGCATCGTGCATGGATTCACAGACGGCTGCATACGCTGCCTCTGCTAGTCAGGGTTTTCAATGATGATCGGTGCTGCAAGACCTCCTCGTCAGTGATAATCCTTCCAGCCGACCGAGGTGACTCCGTTTGAAATAAGCTACCAACTAATTAACCCACAGTTTCGCCACTAGAGACAGTGCAACTGCAAGCTAAAGCGAAAACGCTGTTTTTAATTCCTGGATGTGATTATGGGATCACAGGGAATGAACCCTCCCCCATCAGTGCTTTTATGATAGCCTTAGGAATTTTCGGAATCATAGAACCTCGAGGTCAGCCCACATCTACCTACCAATCAGAACACCGCTGATGACAGACAAGAGGCGACAATGAACTTCGCTGTCAGAGATGGTCGAAAGAGGCCGAACGACCCATCCTGCGATTTCGCAGGGGGTGCTTTGAAAAATGATCCATGCCCCGCCGCCTGAGCAGTCATGATTTGCCTATCCTAGCCTGGGTCGCGTTTCTGATAAGGTGGTGAAGCATCCTCAGACTCGACTGGCAAGGTAATCGAAAAGACTGCATTCAAACAACGGTTTCCACTGGAAGGTATCTGCGGGCTATTACTTTGTGCTACGGTGCCACGACAGCGGGAGACTGTGGGATGGGCCCGCAAGGAGCCGACCTAGGCTCCTTGAAGACCATCCGGCGCAATATCTGTCGGTGCAGGGAGGATGGTCATGGAATTTTGACACCAACTGAGAGCGCAATCCAATGGCAACCGTTCTACACCCCCGTACCCTTTTGACAAGCGACTTGCCCACACCCGCAGACTACAAAGGTGCTGCCAAAATAAGTAGAGCTCAACTCGCAATCGGGTCCCACATATTTACATCAGCTCATCAGAGGGTTCACATCGTGGAAGCTCAAGACCTGTGGGCAAACTGTCAACAAACTGAGTAGTCAGCTGCGCAATCCAGCATTTAAAACTGTGGCGTGAATAATACAACAATTTGAAAGCGGTGTTAAACACATACGCACCACAGGTCTCGGAAAGTGTAATCAACTGGAAAAATTAATCCAATGACAGTCCAAAAACTGTCGAAATAGCGGCAAGAAATGGACAGTTAAATGGAAATGCCAACCTGCTGGCTGATAAAGCGATGAGTATAGATGACCGACCGGTCAACGCACGCGAACTGGTACAAAACCGAAAGGGCGTGTTCTTATGATGTGATCACAAGTCAGGGAAATGTGTGTGCGGGGTGGGCCAAGGAAAGGCAGCAGGAATGTGCATAAAATGTAGAAGGAAGAGGAAAAAATTATCTCCGCGGAGAAGGGCCTGCAGGAAGGGGCGTGGGGCCTTGAGAATCACTGCAACGGTTTCCAGACTCGCATCTCCAGCAACTCCGTCTCCTCGTCGCTGACATCCTCACTGTCGAGGAGGCGTTGTTGATTACTGCCTGTGCGGGCGTCAGATTTTCCCCCATTTAGTCCCGAAAGATTGGCGGGCGGGTTTCGCAGACCGTAACCCATCACCGTGGCCGTGAGCAGGACACACGCGAACACCAGAAGGACATGCTGACAGAAGAGGTTGGCTGCACGCGGAATGCTCTCCACTGCGAGCTCATCCCACATTGGGAGCCAGGAAATAGGTGGATAGAGGATGGCTCCGACCTGAAACATGGAAAGCATCTTACGATCCGCTCACGTCAGGGATGACAATCAGTTCGGTGAGAAGTATCACCACTATGGAGGGTTAGGAGGTGTCTGGCCCTTTTTCACAGGAACCATCCCTCTGTATCCCTCCTTCCGCACCGAAGTTTCGTATATATAGTATACGTACCTAGACGCGTGTAGATCACAAATAGAGGCGAATGGTCGGGTTCCAGATGTCTTTAGGAGTAAGGCAGAATAAGAAGACTGATTAAGAAATGGGGTTATCCATTTAATGTGTGCGAGCGTCCGATGTCGTAAACGAGTACACTGTCAGAGCAACAAGCGGCAATAGAATAGGCGACAGTTATGGAAATGTTCTTCGATTAAAAATCAGTGACGCGGGGGGTGCAGGTGACTGCGCAAGGCTCTATATGCTGATGCCAAATCGATACATCGATTGACTGACTCCTCATTCAAGGTTCAGGCTTCAATCAATTTTCGTTTTGCCTTGTTTTTGACGAGAACGATTACCATGTTGGCCGCGCAGTTTAACTCATGGTTGGTTTCGAAGGCGTGACGGCCTTTTGCGATAATTCGTCGGTCCCTCGTACAGCCGGCTTATTTTCGTGTATGCGTAGTCTGGACACGATTTCAGTCTGGCCTGTGTAAGTACACGAACAATTTGGGCACGGGATACGATACACCACGCCTAAGCTGATCGGCTTCAATTTCCGCGAAGTTACTGCATGCGTTAGCTATGGGACAGTGGGTAACGCAGCAATGCATTTGGTCGCCTCTGAAACGTCCTTTATGCATGGCAAAACATGAGGTATCATCGATGGTGTTCCCCATGAGGCAGTTCGGGAGCGAAAACGTAGGCATGCTCTGTTGCTGCTCTTTCTCTGACAATGGACTGCCTCACAAGTTCGAAAATTCTGACAAATAAACACCTGGTTCGGGCGCTCGATCAGTCTCCTTCTTCCTCTCTCTTTCTCGCGTGTAATGATACATGCATTTTTTTAAAAGGGGAGAATCTTCTTTGCTTCGAAAAGTTAGCGGACCGGTGTGCGTCTATGCATTTATGGATGTGTACATATATTTGGAAGGCAAATTAGTTCTTTGGGAAAAGTGCGAAACTTCATAGGGTAAATTTTCGAGAATTGTTCTCCAGGTCGTAGTTATACGTTGAGTAAATGGGTTAAAAACGGTTAAAATTTAAAACCCACTTACAACGGCAGGTTTTCGATGTTGACGCTGGAAGACAACCGTCATGCGTGTCACTATGTGTTGATTGGGTCTTCGTGTCTGACAAAGACGTGGGGAACCAGCATCAAAAAGCTGCCAAACAAAGTTTCGAACTTTTTCCAAAAGGTAGTCTTTGCCTTTTTATTATATTTTTGGTATGCCTGCCTTCCAGTTCGCGTATATATCTATATATTCACTCAGGAATGGGCGCACACCGATCCATTTGTTTTGCGAAGCAGAAAAGCTTCTGTGTGCGCACACTTCTGAGTAAGTAACTACCTGATCTGCAGAGACAGGGGATGGCAGGTGGCGAAGCACAGATGAACTTCAGTTCGAGGAAGTGCTTAGGACCTATCTGGTAGACGGCAGTGGTGGACCAAATGCGCCAGGTGTGTCTGTGAGCATGTTTGTGTTTCTGATCCCAGCTGCTAGTCGGTGTTATGACTGGCTGAAGGAAAGCAAAATAAGCCCGAAACAGGGCTGCATTAATCTACCCCAAAGACTCTGTCGTCGTTCCCTTGATATTTTTGTATATGTATATATACATATGTCGAATAATTGTGTGACCCTCAGTGTCCGCTATCCAGCTTTGTATGTCTGCGTTGAAGTTTACGCATATATATGCCGAATAAGCATGTGACACTCAGTGTCCGTCGCCAGCTGTTTATATACCTCACTCCGGAAGGCCTATGAAGTATTGATGATCTGTAACGACCGTGTAACAGCAGCAAATAAAGGCAGGTTTGAAAGATACTATTTCGGCCTATTTTGCCTTCATTCAGCCAATTATATCACTGACTACTAGATGGACCAAAAGTACAAACATGCGCTCGTACAGGTCGCAGATGGTCTACATACGTGGCCAAGCGAATGGGATAGAGGATGGCTCCGACCTGAAACATGAAAAGCATATTTGAAGAAGAAGAAGAATCGAGCACCGGAACAATTCGTTTATTATCCTGAGCTTTCAGACTCGTACAGGAGTCCATCGATGGACTCCTGTACGAGTCTGAAAGCTCAGGATAATAAACGAATTGTTCCGGTGCTCGATTCTTCTTCTTCTTCAAATATGTATACACCTGGAACTCAAAATTTCGCCTTTATACATGAAAAGCATCTTACGATCCGCTCACGTCAGGGATGGCAATTAGTTCGGTGAGAATTATCACCATTCCGGAGGGTGAGGAGGTGACTGGCACTTTGTCACAGTAACCATCCCTCTGTGTCCCCCCCCCTCCGCACTGTGTTCTAGCATATACAGTATACGTACATGGCAAAGCAAGAAACATCATCGGCGGTGTTTCCGGTGGGGTCTTCAGGGAGCGGAAACCTGGGCATGTTCTGCTGCTGCTCTTTCTCCGAAAATGGACTCAGACAAATAACACCCGATTCCGGCACTCGCTTAGTCTTGTTCTTCCTCTTCCTTTCTCGCGTGTAAATATACATATATTTTTATCCAAACATACTTAGTAAATCGATACATGTTTGGTGTTTGCGCTGGTAGGCTGCTGTCGTGTTTCCAGTGTCTTTGTTTCTAGACACCTAGTCGATGCGCAACCGCCAGCAAGCCTCAAGGTGCAACAGGAGGCGCGCGTCCCGAAAATTGGTCGGTGAACTCGCTTCCACCACACACACACACACTGATGATCTATGTGTAGCAAAATATTCAGCTGATGACCTTTCCCGTCACATGAGTATTACCTGCCCACTCAACCAAGAATGGCATAAATTTAGAAATGATACCTTTACAGGGAAGGGATCAAGACCGGATGATCTAATGAATGCACAAGAAGATGGTTTTATCAAAATATTGGTCTTCTGGGCGACTGAACGGAAGGGCCACAATCTGAGTAAAAGCTTGTTAAAAATTGCAATGAATGTTTTGGTTAGTGAAGCCATGGACACAGCTTTTGAAGAACTCTAGGTCATTCTGAGTCAAGTGTGTCATCTAAAACACTTCACTGAAAGGCATTTTCGGTAAAATTGACTGAAAAGTCAGTTCCAAAGTAGCCTTTAGGGGTTGCAATATTTCAAACATGTTTAGGCGCTGGTCACAATATATCAACGAAATAAACTACAACACGGTTAAAGATCTGTTTAAAAGTTCCGAAAAAATATTTCGGTTTGGACTACGATGGATGCTTTGTCTATGTAAACCATTTCATCCTGTGCTTGTTAAATCGCCTGCCCTTGGCGGTAAGAACAGAAAAGGATATGCAGCCTGAGTTGACTACATGGCTGTCGATGCCAAAAAACAAAGCATTTCCCGCATGATGGACATTGTACTGACTTGCCTCGCAGCCTTCGAAATCCTGCCTGTGCAAAACCGTTTTCTGTATCTTACTCCTGTCACACTTTTGACTGACTTCAACCCCGATTTATCGACGAGTAGGGCAGACATCCCGAGTAAAAATAATCTCGACTTTCAAAGAAAAGGACCGCAAAATTCCTAATAGAGCTAAGCGTCCAAAGTTACTGTTATTAGAGGTTTATCGAGTTGATCCATGTAAAATTGGTGCTTAGAAGAGTCGAAAAAACAATCATTGAAAACGAAACATGCATGTTTTAACTACATTTCGAAACCTCGCGCATGGTACCTTCAAACTTCAACTGAGGACTTTTGCTGACAAATCAGAACACGGCAGACATGAGTTAGTAGCGAGTCATATTCGAGTGTGTCCTTTCAAATTATAGAGAATTCAAAAAAGCAGAGGCTTACGTGCCAGAACCACGTGCCCTGAAGAATGATAAGGATAGAACGGAGAAGCCCGGCTATGTGCGATCGCAGATTCACCGCTTCGTACATGCCCATGGCAATAAGAAGGAGAACGGCGTATATCAAAACTGTGTGAACGTAAACATTGACAGGAGTCTGACCATGTAGATGGAAGACGAAGAGTATGCCCTCTGTCGTTATCGGAAGGAAGTTACAAAGATAATCCGAGGATCTGCTAAAGAAAAACGACGTTGGGGACATGGGTTCAGTAGAATGTTTCACGATCGTCGTTTTAATATAAGGCTTCACATTCTAACGAAGCGCAGAAGACGGCATGACGCGACTCTATCGGCATTCGCCCTCCCCACCATTTCATTTGAAAGGTTTTCTGACATAATCGGCCTTGATAACATGCACATGTGTTGTCTGTTGTGACGGGTGGAAAAGCTACTCAACAGAAAGCTCCGCAAAAAATTTTAACATTACCGAAGCGCAGGGTAAAAACTGCTACAGCGTATTGGAGACTTTGTCTCAAGGTGGCAAACGTCTGGTTCCGTAAACTTTGGGCAGGCTTTCAAAGTGTTGTCCTAATATTTGAATACAGAAGGCATTACCTACCTGCGCAATAATATACTGACTTTATATTCTTTTTTGGTTCGTGGTATTCGAAGGCCAACACTCGTTTGCTTTGCGCAGGACAGGACATGAGCCTGCCAATTCCAATTCAGAACTTGTGTTAACCACTTGTCACTGTATGTTACGGTAGTTGAACTATCCTTTAAAATGAGGCCACTATTCAAAGATAAGATTGCTTTGCCTACTGTGCGGAGCAGTTTCTACTGTATTTGGTGACAAAATGCAACTTCCAACTCCAGAGATTTCTTAAAATCTCCAAGTTGTCTTTGCCTAGCATGTCAGCATACGTGGCAATTACAATCCACTGTTGTAGTTTTCAGGTGAAATCGGATGATTGTGAATAATAGGTAATCGCTGGCCAGTTTCATTCGAGTTCTGCGTGTGTGTAGAAAGCAGGACAACTCGTCGTATCGCCGGATTCTAAGGTTTTAACGAGCGTTGTTTTCAAGCTAATAATGCAAATCTTAACTAAATGCCAGATCTGGCAGGTCCCTGCTAATTTTAATATAACCACTGCCGGGTGCTATCACTATATTTGATTGGATGAACGCTTTAAATATAAAATAGCTAAGACACAAAAATTATCAGCTCATTTGTTTAAAACTCTTCATCTATCACGCAGGGTAATCGTACGCAACGGTTATTAACTAACTGTCAGGCTAGCTCTATGATTTAAGCAGTTATGCACCTTAGTTTGCTATCCAATTGAATATTTATGGCAATAGTTGGCGCCACATTTTAAATGTGACGGCCAGCACTTGTGAAGGACGTTTTCCGGACGTTCTTCAGTTTGTATAAAAATATTACACACACTGGTATGCATTGCCTATGAAGATTAGTTATTTTCGCGTGAATCAGATTACCTTAACGTGAGCAGTGCAAAATTATTCAGGCCGATTTAGTCCACGAACGAACAGTCGCGAGTCTATATGGACAGACATGGACAACGGTCTTCATTGTTCCCGGGTGGGAAAGGTAGGCACTGCCTTCGTCCACGGTTTATTTATTCCTTCTCTTTTAAAAGTTTCAATCTCGGTCATTGGTTCACGCGCGTGTTTTCACTTCGAGGGCCCATCTTTGCGTAATTGATGGAAAGAAACTTATCTGTGGGGATGGTTGGGCTCGTGCAAGAGCCCACACTGTTGGCCTGTCAGCGTTGGAGGGACAAATACTGAGTAGCAAGAAGTAATTCGATGATTGCTGATAATTATTGGAAGAAAGTACTTGGCCGGCATCATCTTTGTACTTCGTACAAGACATTTTGAAACTTACGGTGGAAGGCGCAGAATACGATAAAAGTTCAAGATTTCAAAGATACCGGACAAAAGGAACATAGAAAACATTGTCGAGTGCTGAGCGTTTCCAATATGAACAAATTTTCCACCATCGAACCCAGTGTAAACCTCACCGATAATCCCGATGGCGCAGCATGTCGCCTTAAGTATTGAGTCAACGGGAATTTTCCTCGAGCGGCAAAAACCTTCTGATCCGGGGCACGGACAGGGAGTTGTCATTTGATTACAGTAAACATCTACCGGCACCGAAGTAAACCCAAGTTCGAAGCGCTTCCGGCGGTAATATTTCTTTAACTGAAACACCAGAGACCATATTCCAAACAGAATAAAAAAACTTCCAGGCAACGCGTGGCCCGCAAACGTCCCCATTTCTTCGTTTCAAAAGTGGCTATGGTCTTGCTCAGACCTTTGTCAGCAAAACACTGGAAGATTATAACAAATTACCATGTGAATGATGGATGGCAATTTTATCAAAACGATTCACATTTCTCTTATTGTCAAAAAACTTGAATCACTTATAAATTGATTAAATACGGGGCTATTAATCGGTGAAAATCAGAGAATTCAGTGGAACATCTAAATTGCAAGGTCACTTTGGAGCAACTATTCGGCCCGTGGTATGATGTCGCGTTTCCCTTGCTTTGACGCTATCTAGAAACAAAAGTCGTTTGTCTACGTTAATTACTTATCCCCAGCCTAAATTACCTGAACTTTCGCAAATCCAGCCAGCGCTCGCCTCAAAACTCTTCACATCCAAAATCAAACTGACTTCAGTATAATTCAGCATATATGAGGGATAGAGGCAGAGCCTCGAAAAACCCTATTTACGAATAGACGTATGAAAAAAACATGCAAATATTCACATAGCAGACAAGCCAGTCATTAATATCATGTAACTGATTGACCATCAGGTCTAAATTGATCAAGTCTTCTTTTGAAAGTCTCGGCGATTTCCGCTAAGACAACGGAGTTCGGCACTTTGTTCCATCCCTCAACCAGCCAGTGGGAGAAGAATTTGGCCCGCAACTCGACTTGGCATATTTCGTCTTGAATTCGTATTGGTGCCCTCGAAGATTTGTCGTCCGCGCCAGCTCGAAGAAATCGTCAAACTGAAGAGCACAGCCTAACCCTCGGACGGTCCTGAAGGCCATGATCATATCTTCTATGTATTGTCTATAAGAGAGAGGAAATAGTTTTAGCTTATCCAGTCGTTTCTCATAATGGAAATTACTTAATCCGCCAACTAGCTTGGTCGCTGTTCGTTGTACATTCTCCAGTAGGGTGTAATCTTTTTTCGTCCAGGGACACCATGCCTGGACACAATATTCCAATATTGGTTGAACGTATGCGCCAAATACTCGGCCGAAAAGTTCTCCATCAAATGGAGGAAGGATCTCCTAATCGCGCCTAGAATACCCATAGCGTTCTTTACTACCCTAGCGCAGTGAGACGATGGTTTGGGAATTGACGTCATCCACACACCGAGGTCTATGAACTCGTTGACGGATTTAAGTTGGTGAACTCGTGTAAAGTACTGAGATTTAAGTCTCAACGGCCTCCTGTTGCTCGAGCGTAATCAGATAAGCTGGTATTTGTTACGATTTAGGCTAAGACAGCACTCATCACACCATTGATGCAAGCGATTCAAATTGTCTTGTAACTGTACAGAGTCTTCCGTCTTCTCTATTGATTTCCTTAATTTGAGTCGTCGGCAAAAATTACTCGTTCGCAGTTCAGACAGTGCAGGCAGTCGTTCACATATAGTAAGAGCAGGATTGGACCCAGAACGCTTACCTGCGGAACGCCGCTGTGCACGGTTGCCAATTCCGATTTAGCGTTTCCGATACACACACACACGCTGAGATCTGCCCTTAAGAAAATCGGTAAGCCATTTCAAAAGATTTCAGTTCACACCCACTTGACGTAGTTTACATATAAGTCGTCTGTGTGGAACACTGTTAAAAGCCTTTTTAAAGTCAATGTTCACGGTGTCGACTGATAAACCCATGTGGATTGATTTCGTCCAGCTTTCCATGGATACTAGGTTAGTGAGACAGGATCGACCACTACGAAATCCATGCTAATGTACACTGAGCAAGTTGTATTCTTCGAGGTGCCGCATCAGCACCGTGTTTATTGCCGTTTCCATCAACATGCAGCAGATGCTTGTGAGACTCACTGGTCTGAAATTATTTGGGGCTGTTCTTTCGCCACTTTTATGTTTGGGGCTTATATTTGCTTTCTTCCAGCCGGTAGGCAAAGCCCCGGTCTCCATCGAATTCCTGAAGATTCTGGATAACCGAGAGGCCAGTTGGTCTGAGAGTTCATTAAGGACTTTTGCGAACACGCCGTCCGGACCAGGGGGTTTAGTGGGCTGTAGTTGACTCAAAGTTTTCCTTACCTTGTCTGTTGTGAAGTCCACCGTGCTAATTGTACTGTTTGATTTGATATTCGGGGGTAAACTCTTTCATCAAAAGCCGGCCCCTCGGTATACACAGACGTAAAGAAGTCGGACAACAGATTCGCCTTATCTGATTTGTCAGACAACGTATTTCCCTGGGGATCTTTTAGGCAGGGAATGCAGTCCCGGTTGAGTTTTGCCTTATTCACGTATCCAAAGAATTTTTTGGATTTTGCGGGATTTGTTTTAGAAGTTTTGACTCAAATTGCGCCCGTGTCCTCCTCAACAGATTCCGACATACATTCCTCTGTTTTTTGAAGTCAGCGAAATGCTCTGGTTGCTGACATCTGGCGTACTTTTTCCCAAGTCTTCTTTTCAATTTAAGGTTCTTCTTTATTTCTGCCGTCACCCACTCTGTTCGGGAAGTGCGCAGCTTCCTCTCAAGTGAGCAACAGCTCTCTACCAAGCGTCGTATTATATTCTTGAAGAAGAGCCAATCGCTTTTTAGGTCAGGTCCTTGTGCTGCATTCCAGTTCACCTTCTGTAGTAGGTTTTTCATGCGGGTATAATCCCCTTTCCATACGTTTCTTGCCTCAGCAGACCGAATTTCGGGTACAAAGAATGACTATTCTCCCAAAAAAGAACGCAGTGGTCACTTTGGCTTTCGGGAAACTTTCCTTTATTTAGCAGGAAAATTTTCATAATGACAAATCCTGACGAGCATCTACAATTTCTGTATCTGTGCAATTGTTCATTAACGTGAACCCCACGCAGTGTTGATCGTGTCGGTGAAATTGCTGTAAATTTTTTTCAAACCCATAACCATATGTTCCATTTTGGCAAAGCCCTAATTCTTTCCTCATAAAAATCCCTGATTCGTTACACATCACCTTGCCCTTTGGCAAACTTACCGATTTGTCCTCAGTTATTTACAAGGTACGTCTGGAGTTCTCTCCATTCTTTAGTTTACTCTGAAAATTCTCTTGGACTGCTTGTTCCTTTGGGGCAATCTGCGAGGAACTTTAGGCGTTCTACAAAGTTTCCTGCCGTATCATTATAAAGGCCTTCATCTGTTGTACCTTGCATGGAAAACCGCGTCCCACCACCATAATATCACGTAACGTAGCTAACAAAAGTAATACCTTATGACCTACCAGGTAAATCATATAAAATCCCTGCCGAATATGTGTTTGATGACAAAACTGACTTATTCCATACGACGCGAGAATTATATTTTCATTTGAGGGACAAATCCCGTGGCAGCTTGACGGTCACTCAGTCTGTGTATCCTGCACGTTTATATCCAGAACCAGGCGTACAATAGGAGAAATAATATTTGAATGTTTAGAAAATGCCATACACGCGCTCACTGACATGAGAAATTCTGTGTACGTAAATGTTTGGATAACATATACGTAGAAGGGAGACCTATGACGAAGGGCTTTTGGCCTCCTGTGAAGCATTCAACTTGACATCCGCTTAGCGCACTTTCGAGGATATTTTTCCGCATATCCAGCCCTATACTTTTTCCATAACGCGTATATTTTTTCTTGAAAAACCTTCGTTTTGTACAAGAAAATGTGCTGGAATGTTACATTATTTTTTAACTCGTGCAACTACCAAGTGAAAATTCGTACCAACTAACCCAACTAATCTAAGATTACACCGAAAATCGATATAACAAAGCAATACTATGTTGAAAGTGCGTTCGTCGATCGGATTACTCGAAATATTCGTCCTGCGGTGCTTTGGAGTCCAGTCAAGGGCCCGAGGGTAGTCGTGTGGTAACTAGTAATACAGGCAGAAGCTGGGTACCGAAGAATACAAGTGAGATTGGGATGGCCACCTCGGACGTATCAGTCGTCGTAAGCCGGACTTACCTACTCTCAGATTGACTAAAGTGGACTGGCCAAAGTTAATTATTTTGTACATTAAAATGGCCACAGTTTAACTGTGTACGGTTTTATTCAAGATTTAAATATGCGAAGCTATTCAACATAAATTGGGTTATCAATGGCTCGGCTTGCGAACATTCAAATACGTACATGAATCCAGATTTTCATCTCAGTGTCCTTATCTTTGTCGACTATCTTCCTCTGCTGAAAGACAACACCAGTAAGGCAGCCATCTTTTGACGAATACAACTTTAGCAGCCTACCGGGAAAGCACACACAAAAGCTAACTTCTTGGCGGGAATTCGGTACCTTGGAACTATACTACATACTTATCAACACTACAATGTCACCTAAGTAATCCTTTCGGGTTAAAATCTCTTTGCAGTATCTTAGTTAATGTTTTCTGAGTTACGCCATCCACTCAAGACCTTCTTCAAAAGCATTCCTTGGGGTACTTCGAGTGTGAGACCTTATGTTTCCGGGGAAGGGATGGTAGACTATCAAAAGCGACATGCGTGTACGATCCGGTCTGTCGTGCGCCTCCCTTCCCACGTAATAACGTGTCACCTACGTTATCTGTTTCGCCGAACCTGCCTGTCCATTATTTCTGCAGCTGCACACAGATAGCCGCGTCTCCCGCTAGTGGAATACCCGGTCACTAGACTTGAAAGGGGAGAAGGAAAAACATAAAAACGAGGCGAATTGGGAAATGAGGCTTGTAATTAAGGAAAGCAATAGAACAA